GCTAGAAGGATATAAACCAACAATTTATAAGGTGTACATTCCAGGAGATGTTGAAGGCAGCAAAAAATTGCTCTCCCAGGTTACTAATCAATTTTGAGTCCAATAGAATATTTCAGTAGGTATTTGTAACATCTAATATGGAATGGATTACCTAGCTCTCATAATATATCTGTTTCGATTGATTAAAGAATTTGTACCAAAAGTTTTTGTTTTTTAATATTTTATTACAGTGTTATAAAAATAATTTACAATAAATTATACAGCCGCCAAAATTAATACAAAGCATCACTCTCCTATCTCTTGAATTTCTATCCTATCATTCCAATTCCTGATCCAATTCCAATCCCGCCTCCAAATCCACTTGCCATCATTCCCGTTCCTCCCATACCACCTCCCACACTTCCTACACTTGTCATACTTCCTCCTACACTTCCCGTACTCCTTACCATCCCTCCTCCTACACTTCCCATACTAACACCAGCATTTCCCATACCTCCCATGCCCCCCATCATTCCTACACTTCCCAAACCTCCCATGGTTCCTACACCTCCCATACCACCAACAGTCCCCATACTTCCCATGCCTCCCATATTATTGCCATATCCGTATCCCATCATCATTCCTGGGAAGGAAAATCCACCCATTCCTCCGCCAAGAAAAGGTCTTCCATATCCCATGCCGTAACCTCCACCGTAACCAACACCTAAACCGCCCCCGACGGATGCATCAGGATCCAAATCTTGTGATGATCCTCTAGTTTTGACGTTTTCTGTCTGAATCTCACGAGTCACTCTCCTAGGGTGTATTTGATACAAACCCTTTGTGTGATATACTGGCCTAAGGCTTACGTGTTTGTGGTAATGGTAAGGGTGGTGGTGAGACGCTCTTCCTCCCAGTACGGTGGTAAATAGTAGTGCAAGTACTAAAGAGGCGATCATCTGCAAAAAATACACACACCGAATTTTCCACAGTTCAATTATTAGGTCATATTACACTGATCGTATGTATGCAGATCTTTTGTTTGGTGACCGTTTTAGATGTCTTGAGAAAAATTTGAAGAAATTCTAATTAAAATAATTTTATTAATAAATAATTTCAAACATTATTAATATTAGTATAAGTTCTTGATCAGCGCGATTTAGATCTCATCAGCACACCTTAGACAGTTTCAATTACGTCAAAATAAAGTTGGTCCTAAAGGTGATGCTATAACCGAGTTCTAGTAAAGGTAAAATTATTGTTTTTGTTGAATTCTTAAAATTCTGTCCAAAATAAATCAGTTTTATTTTATAATTTCTTGGCTCGCTCGCCCTATTTAAAAACTAGAAAAATATTTCAAATCACTACAGTAAAAATTAATAATTTTATCGATATTCGTTTGAGTTCGAGTAGGTACACAATTATTTTTTTTACTGATTTTAAAATGTTATCACTTACCTTACAGAATCACTTTTAGAAGGTAAACCGGCTGCCACTTAAACACTTCTTCGTCATTTTCAATTAAACATGAGATTATATAGGTATTAACGCCTCTAAGTTAACGGATGTAATTGATTACCGAAAAATTAACCGGTAAAAAGGTTAATCGTAAACGTATATAAAAATTTAACGGAAAATACGAAAGAGTACAATACCCTCCATCGGCAATAACCAATTAACACCAATAATTATTTTGTAAGTAAAGGAACTTCGTCAATTATAACAAGCTAGTCAAGAACTCCTAAATTATTTTTTCTTCGTATAATTTATCTATTACTTATTACTATATACATTTTATAATTTAGGAGAGATTAAGATAATAAATCCGAATTTTTTGAGTCAGAGCCGAACTCAGGGTGAGCATCGGATATGCCAAGACTTATATCTTATTTTTATTACTTTTCCTGCTAGGTATGTGTCTTGAGCATTCTGAGTCAAGTATATCGAACTTAAAATCTATTGTATAGGGTGGGCAAATTTCGACATTTGTATAGTACAACTCGGTAACTATAAAAGATACAAAAAAATTAACGGCGGCTTTTCGATCTCTCCTTTTTTAGGACAAATTTATTGGTGTTTTCAAAAACTAGTTATCGTCTTTTGTTTTCAAGTTACAAACAAAAGTTTTGACTACGTATCCACATTGTTTGTAGTATAAGAAAAAACACTACTTGAGTACGTGTTAACGATCACATAAAACTAATTTTTGTATCCCTCGAAAACAGTATTTTTTTTTGGATAAATGGTACGCTATGTCCTTTTTTGTACCTTTGACAATGTGTGTAAAAATTTTCATGATAATCGGTTTAATACTTAAGGCGTGAAATCATAACAAATAAACAAAGAAACAAAGAACCCCACATTATTATGGTATTTATGATAACTGTATTAAAAAAGTAAGGCGGTACACCCCAAATACATAAGAATGTATGTATGAGTTTTGAGTAAAAAGTACATTGTTGACTTAGCTCTACAATATTTTTTTCAAACTCATAATGAGCTAAAAGCGACCCTACTTTGCATTTACTATAGTAGCCAAGAGCAAATATTCTATTTATAGTTATAATACTTTTTGTAACGGAGATATTTAATCTTTTTCTTTACTTAGACACTGAAAATTAAATAATTGATTGTTGTTTGAAAAAAGCATTAGCATGTACGTAGCTTGTTATTTTCTCTTTCTGGAAAAAATTTCTTTCACGTTATTTAACAAGTTCTAGCTAGTTGTTTGTATTTAGTTTTGTAAATAATTAGGTTTTGTTATTATTTTTAGATGCGTTCATAATAGACAATTTCTGGTAACAAATCTACTTTAAACGCTTTAGAAACATACAAAAAAAAATAGATATCGGTTTATGTATTTTTTTAAATTTTATTTGTAGTCTAATTGAACGTTAGACAAACAAACAACAACAGAATGACAAAATCGTAATTTGCTGTAATCGTTTTCAATATAATTCAAGTTAATATGTATTTCCTGCCTTTTCATTAAAAATATAATTAATTTTGACGTACTAATTAGACATAAAAGGGCAACCGTCAATCATCTTCAGGATTCCGATGTACAAAATGTTAATAGAACCTCTATTTTATTTATTTATTTATGAGCAGTATTGTTTTTACAACCAAACAAATAATTCACGATGTTACACTGGGTTACAACCATTTTACTGTTATTTTTGTGTTTGGCTTCAACCCCATTGGCTGAAAATCTATTCAAGAACAGTTCGCGAAATAATTTAAATAACAATAAAGTGAATGATCCTTTCCAAAGCTTGATCCTTGAAATGAAAAAGTACATCAAAGACTGCAAACTAGATCCTTCTTCAGAAGAATTAAAAGAAAAATATGGTAAGAATTCTCATTATAAGAATATACCGGGTTTCTAAATAAAGTTTTGCCGAACATAATGTGTATATTGCTGTTTTACTTATTTGTTGTAAACTTTTTAACTATAGCAGCAAGAAAACACCAATTACAGTTATCTAAAATTAATGTTTGTGAAGTATCTATATGTAAATCAATTACCAATTTTTAATTGTAAATTAAGAAATCTACAGATCAAGTGAAAATTTTAGGTGGTGTCTACATGAATAACAACAACAAGAGAAGAAGTAGCCGAAATAGTAAAGAAATTAATGATGACGATGCAAGTTTTAGTAGCCGTCAATATTATTTAACGAAAGCACACTTGCGTCATTTAGATAACAAAAATTTGAACAACAGCAACTACACAACCCAACAAGAACATGCGAGCGCATATGGACGTAATTGGAACATGGGAGGAAATGATAATTACAAACTGAACAACTTCGGAGAAAACCTTTTAAGAAATGGGAATTACAATAATAACGAAAACAGAAATCGCAATGACCGTAGGAATGGTTGCAAAAATGATCAAAATAACAACAGCAACAATTACGACCGAAATGGTCCAGACAGAAACGGTAATGGTTATTCCAATCAGAATAATAGACAAAATAGTTACAATAGTGACAATTATCCTGGTCAGAATTATAATTCTCAAGGTACAGGAGATTTTTACAATAGAAGATCAGATGGCATGGATCGAGGATATTCCTCAAATATGGAAACAATCCTGGAACCTTCATCTCACGGAACCAACCGAAATTATCAATCTTATCAGAACCAACAAACAAGACATTACGGAACAATGCCCTATCCTGCGGGAAGTTCATTTACAAGTATTAGTAATTATAACAGACAATCTGAAAGGCAAGATGATATTGATAACCGTAGAAGTTCAGGGAGTTATTATATAATTAGTGGTAGTAGCGAATATGGTAATGGAAATAGGAAATACATGAGAAACAATCAAAACATTGCAGGTTTACAACCTCCGCAACAAGTTATTATGGCAAGACAACAAGAGGGAAGATATCCCAGATCCTCGGGTAATTTGAATGACTGGAATAAAAGCGAAGAAAACGTTGAGGTAACTGAATTGTAATCACTTGAAATGAAAGCAAAAATATCTCTAGTAATTTAAATTAAAAATTAAAAGGAATACTCACCCTTAATTACCACAAATAATTTTATTTGANTTTTCACTGTCGATTCCCAACATAGTCAACCAAATATACACTTTTGCAAGTGGAAAACGAAATTCGAATGCACGTAGTATCAAAAAAAAAAAACGAATATACAGGGCGTTCAAATGAATCACGTAAATTATAATTATTTTTCAATGCAGGTAAGAAATAAATCTTAAAGAATCATACAAAATGGTTCTACGATGGGATAATTCACCCATATATTTTGCTTACAGCTAAAAAAAAGTATTAAAATAGAACTTTCAATTTAAAGAAATTAGAAACTGATTATGAAAATAATACTATTTTACAGGGTGTTTATTAAACACAGAGCAAAACTTGAGAAAATTATTTCCTAGGTTACTGTAAGGGTATTTAATGCCTTGATGATTTTTGGAAAATGGGCTTGTTTCCAAGATACAGGGTGATAAATGTTTTCCGACAATAACACTGTTTTGTTTTATTATCCAGAAAGATGCATGTAAAGCTTCTAAATCTTTAGGTAATAAAAGAACTGCTATATATGACTAACACTAGCATCTTCTCCTCATTGAACAGTGCCATAATCATGGGAGGGTTGGAAATCACCCGACTAGGAATTTTTTTTAATTATACTTCTTAAGTAGTTATCGAGTGTAATTCGGTTCGATCCTTTTGGATATTCCGATCAGACAATTCCACTTTTTTAAAGATAATGTGGATTTTCATATTTTTCGTTACCTTACCTCTCCCTTGAGAAATCTTGATCACGCCACTGTCATTGACTTTTTGAAAAACAGCGGAATTGTTTCTAACTGAACTATTTGAGCGATTTAAACATGTTGCTGTTAAAAATTCATAAAACCGGACTTTGAACATCTTTTCGGTTACATTAATAATTTTAAATTGTGTCTTGTCGTAAACAATGTACCATCTTGTTGGCTTTCCAAAAACAATCAAACAACAAAATATTGTTTCAATAACTCTTGAAGTTTTGCCGTTTGTTTAATAAGCACCCTGTATACAGAAGGTAATACTTACACTAATTTGTAAAATTCTGCAACACACATGGAAGGCTGCGACGCAGCATGTCCGTGTCACCTTGTGTATATTTTGAAATTATTCCGTCAATATTGACGTGACGTAAAAGGTAAAGAATTTAAGGTATTGAAAATGGAAGGTACTCTAAATTATTCTACGTCTGATTTGGACCATACGCCTGTGAAAAGTAGAAACGACGATAATTTCGAAGATGCAAAGAGCGAAATTGAAATCATTACCGAAGACTTCAATCTTGCCATGGCCGAAAGTACAATCAAAATCTCTTCGCAGATAAGCATAACCGACGTGTACGAAAAAAATATTTATTTAGAAAACAGCTATAAAGACGCCATGAGAAAGTGCGAGGTACTTCAAAACGAGATAGACGTCATGAACGCCACCGTTAATAGAGAAAGACAAAGAGCTCACAGTTACAAAAAGAAACTCCAGTACATCCAGGAAAACCAAGATATCCTAAAGAGTTTGAAAGAAACTTATATTTCCTATAAAGGTTCCAAATGTAACGAAGGTGAGAAAATACCTAAAGACGCAGTAACTCAAACACACCATCAAAATCAGCATGAAATAAATAGAGAGCCATCTGAGTCAAACCCATGTATTGTAATGAGCGTTACTGAATTAGATGATATCAAAAATACGTTTCAAAATTTAAGGACGTTAGTGGAGTCCCGGGAAGAATCGAGGACTCTAATGCTAGAACAACAAGCCGCTGCCATATTGGAAATAACCGCACTAAAGGAAGAAATAAGATTCCTTAAACTAATGTTGCAATTAAAAGAAACATCCGAAACCTCAAAAACAAATATGGCGTCACAGAATACAAAAGATACAGGTGTACTTAGAAAAATAATCATAAAATTGCACAAAATATTAAAAGATGCCCAGTATAAATCGGAAGCGGTTAATCCTTTGACAGATTTTGAAAAGACTATTATGAATCTTTTAGTAATAAATACTGATACCAAAAATGCTTTAAGAAGAACTAAAAGGAGTTCTTCGCTGGATGAAATACATCGGCAGCACGAATCTGTTGTCAAGTGTCTTCCTGTTCGACACAAGAAAACAATTTTTTATGAAAGAAAACGCATTCCAAAAGTAACTGAAAGAAGATCTCAGTCTCTGAGTCATATTTAAAGCTAAAATTTTGGAAACATAAAAGTTCGACTTTCCAAAATTACCTATCGTGGAAAAAATACAATGACTAAAATTACAATAATCTTTCCATTTACACATTATTTTTGGGACATCTAATAAAATTTAAGGTCACTTCGCACAGTTGGTTATAAATTGACAATAATTATAATAGAAGTTTAAATAAAGCACGTATATAATTATAATTAGCACCCACTTATCTTTAGTTGGCATTATAATTTCTTTTTTCAACAAATTAAATTCATTTTCTACGACGATTGTGTAATCTCATTAAATTTCTGTCTAATTTGATTTGAAATATTTTGTAGTAACTAACAGTTAAATTTTCGAATTATTTTTAAGGAGAAGATTCATTGGGATCATATAATGACGTCATAAGAAGTAGGACGAAGCCACAAAATTATTTTATTATTTAACTTCGTAAGAACAATAAATACACACAAATAACTACGATAACAATAAATAATAATGAACCAAGATGCACGACAATGATTATTTATTATGTGGTGATATCACATTAATGTCCTTCCCCTCTCTATCTAACTTCATTTTAGCCTCTACCCCTATTGGCCTGCCTTCTTGCTACAACTATCCTGTAGGTGAAGAGAGGTCTGGTCACAGTGGCACTTGTGTCCAAATCGTCAACTTCTTCTCTTGCATCAGTCCTCACCTCATTTTCTACAGATCTTCGAAATCGTCCTTTCAAATTATCGTCCATATTTCGGACAAAAGGAGGTACAAAAATAAATCCAATTCCAGAAGAAACGCCGCTGGAACCGTGAATGGATCTTTTCGCTACACTTTTTGTTAGTCCAGAAGATTCGGGAATCGCCATTGCTTCAACAGGTTTTTCAGCTGTTTTGTCTTCTGGTGGCTGCTGATTATCTGTGATACTTCTTTTAGATATTCTTTCACCACCGGGTAGGTCCACGTGAAACTCGCGGATTATTCCATCATCGTGGTAAACTGACGGCTTACCGAAAGCAATATCAATTATCACCATACAAACAAGCGTGATGGCAATCATTTTCTCGTTTTGCTTTGGACGAAGCTGTGCTTCAGATACGCGACAATCAAAACTTTTTCTGGCCCTCGACCGTTTGGTGATCGGTATTTATACGAAGACGGTAATGTTTCTAATTAAATGTTGACGCTTGTAGAAAGGTGTTAAATAGTGCACAATGCTTTCGATATACGCATGTTACAACCACTCCGAAGCAAACAGGCACGTATACCAAAAATAAACTGCAACAAAAGTCAAATATTTGTTTGCAGTACTTATTATGGTTTTTCTTCTTAACCACTGATAGACGGATAACATGTATATATATATTAAGTATTTTTAGATTTGCTTTTCAAACTTTGAGTCAGTTGTGACGCAAATCCATTGTTTACTAACTGTAAGTATAATTATTTCTTTTTTTAGATCTTAGATATTTACACAAGTACTTTTCTGGAAAGTGTCCGTACTTCTGGAATTTTGCTTTTACATATCTGATGACAGTATTTAGCGTACGAAAACGTTTAGAGAAATTGCTCAATATGTCTGTCTCAATACTAAAACAATCTTAAGAAATTTTAGTAAAAATAAAAGGAGGATGCTTTATTGTTTGTTCTTCTTTGTTTTTAAGGATTAATATCGAGATCCCCAATTCAATTGATTTAACTGTTTTGCCATATAACGTAGTAAATAAGGGATCATCCTAAAAATACGTCACTCAGAATGTCACCTTTCGTCACGCTAAGTCACACTTCAGCCACCCCCCCCCCTAAAAAATATTATATCCAAAAGATGCCCCTTCCCTATAAACGATTTCCTATGATTAAACATAGCAATGAGAATAAGTTTCTATCGTAATGAAAAATTTTAGTAACTATCAAGTTAATAAAAACATGTTGATAAATTTCTAATGTTTCGTTTTCTTAGACTCCCAACTCCCTGTCATATCTCGTCTCACTACGTAATATCCCTCCCTCTCTCTTGTTTGTGATCATATTTTATGAACATTCCCTAATCAAAATGGCTCGAATTCATAAGCGGAATTATTACCACCATAAACTTTTGCTGAGGCCTAATATTATATTATGGAAAACAGCAAAAAAGGCTCATAAGGTTACTGTAGAAAAAGACAACACGAACGAAGTAGGAAAGAAAAACTAGCGAAAGGTCGAATATAAAGATAGGAAACGAAAAATTAAAAGAAATGGCTGCTTTTAGGCATCTAGGAAGTCAGATAACTCAGAATGGAAGGAGCAGTAGAGATATAAAACATAGGATAGCGCAAGATCGAGTCGCCTTCAATAATGCTCTATGCTCACGAACAGTTAATTTAGAAATTCAAAAAAGATTGTTAAAGGTCTAGAGCTCGGCGCTGTACGGGTGCGAAACATGGACAGTGGGCGCAGCGAAATAGCATGAACTGAAAGCATTATGATTCTTTTTATGAATACTAGTTTTTTTATTAGAAGAATCAACAAAACGTGAATCTTTGCTTTTACTATTATCGTATTCCGATTAATATCCGTATGTATACACACAACTACAGTGTTATCATACTTAAGTGGATCATAATTAATTGAGATTACCTTCGTTATATAAAGAGAAATGTTTGAATAGATTAAGTAAATGCAGTTTATTTAAAAAGAAAATTTGACGATAATTACTTGTATAAACTTATTCTAGATTCTATCGTATACAATTGTGAAAATC